ACACACACACACACACACACACACATACAGGCAGTGTACTCTATTGAGCATCAAACCCAGGGCTTTGAACATGCTGGGTAAGCACTCCCAACCTATATATATATATACACACACACACACACACACACACACACACACATACAGGCAGTGTACTCTATTGAGCATCAAACCCAGGGCTTTGAACATGCTGGGTAAGCACACTCCCAACCAAGCTACATCCCCAGTCCCAATATTCTGTATGTTTTTGGTGCTTATATTTAAAGCGTTGAGACAATGTCTTGCCTGTAACTTTGGCCATCGTTGGGGAATTTGCTTACAGTTAATGGAAGAGTGTGCCGGTAGCCTGTATTTCCCTCTGCCCTTTCCTCTCCTAGGAAAGCTAACACAGTGGGTGGGATAAAGAGGGCTTACAACGGGAGGGTAAGCCATATTTGTGCATGAATCCTGTGCGATTCCCTGACCGTGGCCAGTCCGCCCTGGAGAAGGGACACTCAGTGGAACATAAAGGGTAACAGCCACTTCTAAGTTCCCGATCCCTCTTCTGAGATGCTATTAATCAGCTTCCCTGGCAGGCGGGAAAGCAGACCTGCTGGAGCTGGGTGGCTGCACGTACATTCTCAGACTACCTCGGACTAGCCACCGGCGTCCGCTGGGGCGGGGATGGGAACCCCTCCCAGGGGCGGGGCGCCCGGAGTTCGCCCCTGGCGCTGGGGCAGCCTGCACAGCCGCTGCATATTGGCGTGCCGGTGCTATGTATCTCCGCAGGGCAGTCTCCAAGACCCTGGCGTTGCCTCGGAGGGCGACCCCTGGGCCCGCACCGCAGGCGAAGGACGGTGAGTGCACTGCGCATCTCCGGGGGTTCAGCCCCCAGACTCGAGCCCTGCACCCACACCCGGTTGCAGAAACCCCTGTTTTGGGTGAGGAAATCATGAGAGAGGGTCTCGGGACAAGCGCCCACAAAACTTTAAGTGACTTTGGAAATATGGAGCTTTTCCAGTGTGACCTCTGAACCCAGATTAGACTTCCTGGGTTACAATTCTGATCTCCGACAAGCAGTAAAGTGTTTCTTCATCCATTATATGTGACAAGAGTGACTTCGGGCGCAAGTCCTGATCTTGGGCAACGGATGAGTGTTTCTTCATTCTTTAAGGGGCTGTGGGTTGTAATTAATGTGGAGTGAAAAACACTTGGAGAGGGTCTGACTAGCAAACTCATAGCTTTCCACTTTTATTATTCAATGGACCACTTTACTCCCCCATCCTCGGAGGAAGCAAAGGAAAGGATGGATAGGTGGACATGGCGCCGCTAGCTGGGTCGCGCGCAGAGGGGAGCGAGGCCTGGTCCAGGTTCTAAGATAGTGCTGAACCCCACGAACACAGCGATCACGCAGCCCTGAGCATCCCCTTGTTGGGAAACGGCCTGGGGCACTCTCCTTGGAGGTTGCTGATTAGCCTGCGTGCGACTCTGCAGCTGTTTGTCCTCGGAATCCAAGTAGCCATCACCTTCGAATTTGGGAATGCGTGGAAAAAGGAGCGTTCTCAGAAATTTCCTAAAGAGGAAAATTGCAGCGCGAACTGTGAATAAAGATTTACATATAGGAAAGCATCTAATAATAGCGCCTGGAACGCACGTGCCAAGCAGGTGCGACCAGGTTGGGCTCCAGAGCAGTCCTCTCCCAGCAGCCCTTACTTAATTTTCGCTTCCCTGCGCCACTGTTCCTGGGGCTTTAGAGGTAGCATTAGCCCAGATGATTTGAGCCTGCGGGATCACGAGCCAGGATTGTTTTGTTTTCTTTGTCTTCTTTACTTGTTTTCCCCACTTTGATTAGGCCTGTGTTGGTGGTGGATGGTGGGGGGAAGATCTAGCCAACTACTTATATTCTTCTTTAAAAATGCTGGTTGGAAGAAGTCACCCCACAAGTAACAAGATGCCTCCGTTTCTCTCTGAAAACCTCTGTAAGAGAGCAGTCTCCCCCACTAATGGGAGTGCTGAGAGGCCTCTGTTTCAAAATAAAGATAACCGGGCTGCTTTGATGTGGATGTAGGAGAAAGATGAGTCCCCTGACCTCTGACTGTGGCCCTCATCCTCCACCGACGTCACATACACACACACTTTTTTTAAAGTATATTTTTATTTGTTTTGTATGTGTGTGTGTATACATACGTACGTGCACATGTGCTTGCCTGCCCGCATCAGAACCGGCGCTTGGAGTTCAGAGGACAACTTGCCTGAAGTCGGTTCTCTCCTTCCACAAAGTGGATCCGGAGGATAGAATTAGGTCACTAGCCTTGGCGGTAGATACCTTTACCCGCTGAGCCACGTGCCAGCCCCACACTTTTTTCTTTTTCTTTTTCTGTCTGTTTGAGACAGGGTCTCCCTGTAACCCCAGCTGGCCTGGAACTCACCATGTAGACCAGGCTAGCCTTGAACTCACAGAGATCCGCCTGCCTCTGCCTCCAGAGTTCGTGGGCCACCACTCCCAGTATAACAGATACGCTGGTAAAACATCCAAACTCTCACTGTAAGCCAGACACTTGGTGGCTCATCTTTATAATCCTCATATTCAGGAGGCTGTGGCAAGATGATCAAGAATTCCAGACTGGCCTGGGCTACACAGTGAGACCTTGTCTCAAAAAAAAAGAATCAATAAAATAAAAACTTTTTTTTTTTTTGGTCTTTTTGAGACAGGGTCTCCCTGTAGCCACCACTGGCCTGGAACTCCCCATGTAGACCAGGCTGGCCTCCATTTCATAGAGATCTGCCTGCCTCTGCCTCCTGAGTGCTGGGATTAAAGATGTGCCCTGCAACACCCTGCAGCAAAATAAAAACTTTGTACCATAGCCTCTTGGAGCATATTTGTATGAGAAAAAAAATTTTTTTTAAGAGATGACATTTAAGGGGTTAGAGAGCGGTTAAGAGCACAGGCTGCTCTTGCAGAGGACACAGGTTCGATTCTCAGCACCCACATGGAAACTCTCAATAGTCGGAAACTCCAGTTCCAGGGGACTCCAACTCCTTCTTCTGATCTCCAAGGGTATTGCATGACATGGGTGTACTTACACACATGCAGGCAATACACTCATATGTATAAAAAATTTTTTTAAAGAGATGGCATTTATATACAAACTAAAAACATAAACAGAAAATCATGATTTTGCTACTATGAAGTTTTGTGACCAATGCAGATGTCCTGAGATCTGGCCTGTGCAAATCATAACCTCTCCTTGCTCCCTCCATGCTCCATGTCAGCCACATCAGATAACGGCAAGCTGTGGCCATGTGACTCATACTAATGCACACATGTACCTTCTGCCTCTGCAGCATCTCCTGGTATTTATATAATAAATCCTTCTTTCCTTCTAAACTCAGTGGAAGCAACTACTCTGGGCCAACTAGCTAAGCATTTTTTTCATCATTGTCCTCTGCTTAAGGTCGATGGCAGCTTCTGTAATACTCTGTCACAATTGTTTGTAATTATTTCTGGACATACATTCCTTTCTACACTGAGCTGCTTGAGGTTGGGAACATGTTTGTCTTCTCTGTAGTTGCATCCTTAGTGCTTCTTACAATTCCAAACACATAGGCCAGGCGTGGTGGCGCACACCTTTAATCCCAGCACTCTGGAGGCTGAGGCAGGTGGATCTCTGTGAGTTCAAGGCCAGCCTGGTCTACATACTGAGTTCCAGGACAGCTGAACTTGTTTAGTGTTTCTATCATTTCTCCTCATCTACACTTGCCCCTTCCAGAAAAACATGATGCCTGACACCAGACTCAGAGATTCTGTAAGCACTCATCAAATTAGAATAAAGACTTGAGTGGAATTACTATCTTGCCTCTAACACATTGTTCCCTGAAGTAAAAAATCACTTGATATTAATAGATTCCCAGATCACTGAGTAGAAAAAGTTTTACAGGATGTGATTACTTAAACTGCCCCTTCTTCCATGGTGAAAATAACTGTGTTTGAACTTGTTTTCCTAGCATCTCTTCGCCAGATGTCATCAAGCAAATTCCCTGGGACATCTGGCACCAATATGATTTATTACCTGGTTGTAGGTGTCACAGTCGGTGCTGGTGGATATTATGTAAGTGTTTAAGGACCCATACTGCTAAATAATTCATGTATTTTCTCAACCTGTGGTAAACTCAAGGCAATGTTAAAATCAGTATATAGGCTTAATTAAATGAACACCATAAAAATAGGGAAGTATGATTAAGCATACACATTTGAAAAATATTTTGTCATTAGAAATAAAATTATTTCATGAGAATAAAGTACCTAGATTATTAAGATTTTTCGGGGCTGTGAGATGTCTCAGCAGTTAAAGACACTTGTCATGCAAGCCTGATGACTTATATTTGATCCCTGGAACCCACGTCAAGGTAGACAAGAGAACTGACTCCACAAAGTTGTCCTCTGACCTCTACACAAACATCTTGGTAGGCATGCTCTCTAACCCACATTACACAATAATAATAAATGAATTTTAATTTTTTTTCTTTCTTTTTTTGGGGGGGTTATTTTTGAGACAGGGTCTCTCTGTAGCCCCAGCTGGCCTGGAACCCACTATATAGACCAGACTGGCCTTGAATTTACAGAGATCTGCCTGCCTCTGCCTCCCAAGTGCTAGGACCATAAGTGTGCACCATCATGCCCAGCCTGAAATTTTTTTTAAAGATTTTTCTAAGAATAAATGAGTACTTCTTAGTTCACTAATATGAATAACTTTCGGTAAAATATTTTTTCACCCAGCACAATTACCTAGAGATTCATCAAAATTATTGCATGTGGAGCTGGAGAGACAGCTCAGAGGTTAAGAGCTGCTTTTCCAGAGGATCCCAGGATCAATTCCCAGCACCCACATGGTGGCTAACAACCTTCTGCAACGGAAGTGATGCCCTTTTCTGGCCCCCACGGGCTTTGCATGACACAGGTGCACTTATGTACATGCAGGCAAAACACTCATACACATAAAATATAAATAAATAAATCAAAATAAATTTTAATTATTGCATGTATCTACTGCTATCCCCTTTCACTGTTGTGTAGTATTCTGTTATAGATAGACCACAGTTTGTTAGTCATTCATCCATTATAGGCCACCGGAACTGATTTTAATTTTTTAAAACTATTTTTTGGGGGGGATCTTTTTGTCTCCCTGTAGCCCCAGCTGTCCTGGAACTCATTATGTAGACCAGGCTGGCCTTGAACTCACAGAGATCCACCTGCCTCTGCCTCCCAAGTGCTGGGATTAAAGGCTTGCGCCACCACGCCCGGCAAAACTATTTTATTAATTAATTTTTTTTAATCTTTTTGAGGCAAGGTCTCCTTGTAGCCCCAGCTGGCCTGGAACTCCCTTTGTAGACCAGGCTGGCCTCGAACTCACAGAGATCCGCCTGCCTTTGCCTCCTGAGTGCTGTAATTAAGGGCATGTGCCACCAAGCCCACAAAACTACTATTATTTTTATTTTATGTGTATGAGCATTTTGCTGCATGTATGTAAGTGCATCCGTGTCTTTCCTTATCTTTGAATCCTATTAGAGCATATTTCTTTCCTCTTTTAAGCTTTCTACTTAATGGCAAAAGTTTCCAAAAGGGAAGGAAAAAGCTGGGCATGGTGGTACATGCCTGTAATCCCAACACTTGGAAGGCTGAGGCAGGAGGATTTGAGTTCAAGGCTAGTCTGGCCTATATACCAAATTCCAGGCCAGTCAGGGCTATGTAGCCAGATCCTGTCTCAAAGGAAAAAAAAAAAGCGTGTTGGGGGGTACATTGATTTTCCTTTTTTGTACTGAAATTATACTTTAAACTTCTAACGATGATTACATGGAGAATTGTACATAATATCTTAGAGCTTAAAAAATAAAACTAAGCACAAATTTTCTTTCAGACTTACAAGGCAGTCACATCAAAGCAAACCAAACATACAGAACATGTAACAAATTTGGAAGAAAAAACGAAAATGGAGTTACAGCCAGTTCAAGGTAAAATGAATTTCTTATTTTATTTATTTATTTGTGTTGAGACAGGGTTTCATGTATCCCAGGCTGGCTTTAATTCATTCTGTAGAATGACAGTGAATTTATAATCCTCATGCCTCTGTCTCCTGAGTGCTGGGATTACAGGCATGCCCCACCATACCTGATTATTTTATTTTTTTAAGTACTAATCTCCATCATCTTATCCTAACAATAAACACTATTTGCTTTTGACTTTATTAGTAACTTGAGAATGACTCTGTGTAGGGGTTCATTCAGGAAGGAAAATCTCAGCCAGAACCTAAAGAGTTACTACTCATTTTGGATGAGTGCATTTGCTAAATGAACAAGTTTTACATGAGTACTGCTGACCAGCGGTTTTAACTCCTTTGTATGGTAATATTTTTCCCCTACTTAGGCATCCATTGGTGCAGGCATAATTTTAGTATCTGTCTCTCTCAGCAACTTGACCTCTCATTTCTCTCATTACTGTTTTTTGTTTGTTTGTTTGTTTTTGTCTTTTCGAGACAGGGTCTCCCTGTAGCTCCCTGTAGCCCCAGCTGTCCTGGAACTCACTATGTAGACAAGGTTGGCCTTGATCTCACAGAAACCCACTTTCCTCTGCCTCCCGAGTGCTGGGATTAAAGGCATGCGCCACCATGCCCGGCCACTCTCATTATTGTTTTAAATTGTAAAGCTTTATTTTATTTTTTTTAGTTTGGACAAGCACCACCCCTTTTGTCTTTGCTCAAAGTACACTTGATATGAGCTGAATCAGTTGTATATATTGAGTCTCTCATTAATAAAATGGAAACTGTGGGAGAAAAAGCATTGCAGTTTCACCCCGATATCTGGTTATTTGCCTTAAAGTGCTTATTTATTATTTTTCTTTTTTTATTTTTTATTTTTATTTTATGTGTATGAGTATATTGTCTGCATGTATGTGAGTGCACCTGTATCATGCAATCCCGCAGAGGTCAGAAGAGGGCTTCAGATTCCCCTGGAACTGGACTTAAGGACGGTTTGTAGCCGCCATGTAGGTGCTGGGGATCGAGCCAGGGTCTTCTGCAAGAGCAGTCAGTGCTTTTAACTGCTGAGCCATCTCTCCAGCCCCTTATTTATTATTTTTGAGATAGAATCTCACTATGTAGCCCTGGCTGGCCTGTAACTCACAGAGGTCCACTTGCCTTTGCTTCTCAAGTGCTGGGATTAAAGGTGTGGAGCATCATGTGTGGCACCATACTTTTTTTCTATTTCAACTATAATGCCATTATCAATTACTATGATCACTATTTTGGGACAGCGGTATTAGCTGCTCAGGAATCAGTTTTAACTTTTTAGTCATGACAGTAAGAAAGAGAATACCAGGGCCTGCATGATCACTCAGAGGGTAAAGGTGCTTGTCCCTAAGCTTGATGATCTGAATCTTTGTGAATACACCTGTCCACTTATGTAAGCTTACTGCCCTTTGTCCCTACATTGTTCTTTGCTTCTTTTTTCACATTGAGCCCCAGGCCTTATGCAGGCTGTGAGAGTGCTCTACCAGCCTCAGCTACACCCCTAGCCAAAGAGGTCTCACTTTTTTGGGGGGGTCTTTTTGACACAGGGTCTCCCTGTAGCCCCAGCTATCCTGGAACTCACTATGTAGACCAGGCTGCCCTTGAACTCAGAGATCCGCCTGCCTCTGCCTCCAGTGCTGGGATTAAAGGCGTTTGCCACCACGCCCTTCGGGAGAGAGGTCTTGCTTTTAAAATGACTGCACAAAGCTGGGTCTAGTGAGACATATCTGTCAACACAGCACTTGGAAGGTGGAGGCAGGAGGATCAAGAATTCAAAGTCATCCTGGCCTATATAGCAGATTTAAGGTCAACCTAGGCTTTAGGAGACATTGTCTCAAAACAATTCTTCAGATTGGAGAGATGGCTCAATGGTTAAGAGCACTGCTGCTCTTGCAGAGGACCCAGGTTTTATTCCCAGAACCTACATGGTAGCTAACAACCATCTGTAATTCCAGTTCCAGGGGAATCTAATGCCGTCTTCTGACCATGAGCATTGCATGATGCAGGTGCACTTACACACATGCAGGCAATACACTTAAACACACAAAAATAAAAATAATTCTATTCAGCAGTAAAAAGAAAAAAAGAAAGAAAGAAAAATCAAATATTTTAAAAAATTATTTTTGGGCCAGGCGTGGTAGCACACACCTTTAATCCCAGCACTCGGGAGGCAGAGGCAGCCTGATCTCTGTGAGTTCAAGGCCACACTGGTCTGCATAGTGAGTTCCAGGGCAGCCGGGGCTACAGGGAGACTCTGTCTCAGAAAGACCAGATGGTGGCATGTGCTTCCCAGCCCTTGGGAAGCAGAAGCAAGTGGATCTCTCTGAGACTGAGGCCAGCCCGGTCTACATAATGACTTCCAGGCAGGCTGGGACTAGGGAGACTCTGCCAAAAAAAAAAAAAAAAAAAAAAAAATTCTTCCTCCAGGATAAAAATAAAATTATTGCAGAGTCTGGAGAGAGAGCTCAGGAGTTAAGAGTGCATACTGTTTCTGCAGACCAGAGTTAGAGTCCCGACACCCACATTAGGAGGCTTACAGCTGCCTGTAACTGTAGCTCCAGGGAAATCTGGTGCCTCTTGGTCTCCTGGGACACTAGCACTCATATGCATATACCTACACACTGACACACATACACATAATTAAAACTAAAATAAAATTTAAATTTTTAAAATAAAATGACTTTTAAAATAAAATGACTGGTGGTTGGAGAGATGGCTCAGTAGTTAAGAGCACTGGTGACTTTTGCAGAGGACCCAGTTTCAGTTCCCAGCACCCGCATGTTGGGTAACAGCCACTTGTAATTCCAGTTCCAGGAAATATGATGCCCTCTTCTGGCCTCTGCGGGTATTGCATGACATGGGTGCACTTATATACATAAGAGGCAAACATTCATACACATAAAATAAAAATAAATAATTAAAAATAAAAATTAGTTTCACTGAATTATGTTCTTCAAATTAATTCTTTGCTTAATGAACTAAATTTTAAAGGTGAAAATGATCATGAAGCTGGGACAGTGTGGTCACATGCCCCGGAAGTTTCTGTAGAGGAAGCTGAATTGGTAGGTGCCCAGAAAGCCCCAGAGGCTGCAGCTGGAATTCCAGAAGTGGCTTTGGCCTCACCCACTGCTACAGATGCTCCAGTGCTGGAGACAGCCACAGACAGCGCTAATGCTGAGCTGGCGCTTACCGATACTTCTGCAGCTCCCACAGGCCAAAACACACAGGGCACCTCTGAATCCACCCTGGAGGTCGAGAGTGCAGCTCCAGACCAGGCTGATGCCAGAAGTAACGATAAAGGAACCATAGAGGACAAGAGCTTTGAGCACAGTGCTGAACCAGAAGAAAACCCTTCCATCGGCTCAGAACCCTCTGCTCGGCCTGATGCACAGGAAGAAGCTGAGGTCAGAACAGAGGCCTCCTCAGCTCAAGGCTGATCTGCCCCAGACAGTTCTGCAAAATTTGATAGTCGTTTTTGTATTTTTAGTAAGCTTAGCTTTTAAAGGCTTCTTTCTAGATTACTTTAATATGCCCTAAAGACTTTGGCATTTACTAGTATGTTTGGGTTGGGAATTGGGGATTTTGCATGTCTTAATAGTTTTCTACTAAGATCAGGCTATGACATTGGAGTAAAGAACTTAAATAGTGTCATCTTTGAATTTACATTTTACATTTTGGAGATTGAGTTATCTATGCAACTTGCATTTAGTTTAATTTTGCTCTGCCTTTCTCTTATATGTAAGTTTGTATTATTGAGTTTCATTTGAACTCATTCAAATAAAATAAGAAAATATTTAGTGTTTCTATTCTTTGCTGTTGTTGGGTGTTAGGGAGTGCTGTTGAGACAAGGTCTAGTCTATGGCCCAGGCTGGCCTGAAGCTCATTACACAGCCTAGGCTAGCAGTCTTTCTGCCTAAGCTTCCCCAGTACTGGACTTACAGGTGTGAGCTACCACCACACCATCACACATATCATCACATGAAAAATATCAAGCTTTATGATATTATTGAAGAAAGAATGTATCTGTGGAGAACACAGCCCTCTGTATTACATAAGAGACTGTGCTGATCATTTCTGGTTCAGTTCAGAGTGTTTATTAATTATTTATACTTTATGACAGTAATCATTCATGCATGCATTCAACAAATATTCACTGAGTGCCTGCAGCCTATCAGCCACTCTTTTAAGTAGCCTTCAGCTTATATTTATAATGGGATTAGGTAATAAGCAAGATAAATTAGAAAATTATATATAGATATTAGCTAGAGATTGTAAGTGTTGGATGGGGGTAAAATTGTAATTTTAGATTGGTCCATATAATGAGCTCCAGGACAGCCAGGGCTACACAGTGAGACCCTATCTCAAAGACAAACAAAAAAGGTGACTCTGGGGATGGAGAGACGGCTCAGCTTTTAAGATCACTGGCTGCTCTTGCAGATAACCCAGGTTTGATTCACAGCACCCACACAGTGGCTAACAACTGTCCTGTAATTCCAATTCTAGGGGATCCAATGCCCTCTTCTGGCCTCCTGAGACACTGCACAACAAACATGCACTTACATACATGCAAACAATACACTCATACACATAAAATAAATTTTTTTTGGTCTTTTTTGAGACAGAGTCTCCCTGTAGCCCCAGCTGTCCTGGAACTCACTATGTAGACCAGGCTGGCCTTGAACTCACAGAGATCTGCCTGCCTCTGCCTCCTGAGTGCTGGGATTAAAGGCATGTGCCACCACGCCCGGCTATAATAAATATTTTTAAAAAGATGACTTTTAGTAAAGATTATAAGGACTTTGGGGGGGAGGGAACCATTCCAGGTGAGAAAACAGATGAGTGCAAAGAATCTACAGTGGGAACATCCTGGAAAATTCCAGAATTTGGAGTGGTCACTGTGAGCGAAGTGGAGTAAAACAGAGAGTGAATAACTGGAGATGATCTCAGAAAAGAAAAAGCATGGGTGAAGCCATGTATGGTAGGGCATGCTTATCATCCCAGCACTCAGAGGCTGAGGAAGAAAGATCATGAGTTCAAGGTCAGCCTGAGCTACATGCATAAAGAGATCCCATTTCAACAACATCAACAGCAAAAAACATTTAGGGGAAGGGGGTAGTGACACAGGGGAAGATGGCCTAGATTGTGTGGAGTTATGCAAGACTTGGGCCATGAATTGGGAAATTGTGACCACTTCTCATGGTGTTTTTAAATTCCTCTAAGTGGGTCCATTTGTGCTCAGCTGCTATGACTGTTATACATCCTCACCCTGCCCTCACCCCAGGTAGCTCATAACTAATGCCTGATCATCACAGGAGTATAAAAGTGGGCCATCTGCAGTATAATTTGTGGTCCATAGCTCTACATGGGTCAGGGCTGAAGTTGGTCCCTGGATGAGATTATATCCTGCTTAGCATGTTTCCCTTCCTGGTCCTGCTTTCCTCCCCACATTCACCTAAGAGCATTCCTCCAATAAGTCATCTGCTCAGAAATTCTGTGTCTAGGGAATTTTACCCAGGATGATTGATAGTGTGTGTAGTCTAGATTAGGGTCCTAGAATTGTATCACTCTGCAACTACACATAGCCAGGATCCCATCCTGAGTGATAGATGGATGATTTCTGGTCTCTGGCATTCTGTAGCAATATGACTATGAAGATTTTCACCTATAGGGGCTGGAGAGATGGCTCAGCAGTTGAGAGCACTGGCTGATCTTGCAGAGGACCCAGGTTCAGTTCTCAGTACCCACATGGTGGCTAAAAACTGATCATAACTCCAGTTCCAGGGATCTGAGGAGACCCTCTTCTGGCCTCCATGAGGATTATATGACACAGGTGCATTTACATGCATGCAGACAAAACATTCATACACATAAAGTAAAAATAAACAAAAACTAAAAAAAAAAAGAAAAAAAAAAAAGGATTTTCACCTGTAAACTGAGGAAGGACTGGATGAAAGGTGATATACTGATCTGTTAATGCCCTTAGGATCTGAGAGGTATAGAAACAGAAACCACAGGACTTAACCATGACTCTGAAGACAGAATACTTCCTTGTATTTACATCTAATTACATCTAATTTGAATCAATATCAACTCTGCATGAATTTCTTAAGTCTAAGACCTATGGAGCAATTAGATGCTGATGTACTAAATACTCTGAGGTGGAGCCCTCCTCAGTGCCACTCTACAGACAGAGGCAATTGTCTCCACTGTTTTGGTTGGGGTGCTTTTTGCTGTAAAGAACAGAAACTAATTCAAAATGGATTGATGAGACTGGAGAGATGGCTCAACAGTTAAGAGTATTGGCTGCTTCTGCAGAGAACCCAGGTTCAGTTCCCAGGATGAACATGGCAGTTAACAACCATCTGTAACCCCAGTTCCAAAGAGGATCTGACACCCTTTTCTGGCCTCCACAGGCATTGCACAACACCAAAATACATACATGCAGGCTGCGTACTCATACATATAAAATAAAAAAATAAATAAAACCAATCAAAATGGATTGAAGAACAGAGGCAGTTGTTACACTAGATATCCGGGGCTGGTTCTTCTATGGCTCAGACATGGAATGTCTACCATCCTGCTCTCTGTCAAGAATTTTCAGCTTTGTACACGATAGGATTTCCTCATAATCAGGATGAATCACCATAGTGCTATGGATCCTATTCAGCCACAAAGAAGTTTTCTCATCTTAGAAAAAAAGAAAGAAGACCTTAAATTAGACTTTTCTCTTCAACACTTTATTGTAGAAAACTTCAAACAGAAGTAGAGTAAGTGTAATGGAACTTCATGTGCCCTGCACAGAGATCTACCAGTTATGAACTCATGATAAATTTTTTATTCATCATTTCCCCGTTACCTTCAACTACTATCGTTTAGGTTCTGCCTATGGCCAACACTGTAGATATGAGAGTAAGTGCTAAAAATCTACAAAATGAAATCTATGTATGTAAAATCATAATGATAATTTGGCCAGGGGTATAGCTTACTGGTAGGGCCCTTGTCTACCATGCTGAAGGCCTGGGATTCAATCCCCAGCACTACAAAATAAAAGGCAAAACTTAAGTTTAGGCTTATGAGGCCTACCCCCAGTGACCCACTTTTTCCAGAGAGGCTCCATCTTCCTAAAGTTCCACAGCCTTCCAACATAGCACCACTAGCTGGGTATCAAGATTAAAACACACGAACCTGGGGCTGGAAAGATGGCTCAGCGGTTAAAAGCACTGATTGCTCTTGCAGAGGACCCGGGTTCAATTCCCAGCACCCACATGGTGGCTACGAACCATCCTTAACTCCAGTTCCAGGGGAATCTGAAACCCTCTTCTGACCTTGCGGCATTGCATGATACAGGTGCACTCACATACATGCAGGCAACACACTCGTACACATAAAATAAAAATAGTAAATAAAATATTTTTTTAAAAAATGCATGAACCTACAGTGGACAGTTCTCATTTAAAACTACACAGGGGAACCCTTCACAAATTGGTTGAAGAATTTGATCACTGACTAGATAAATAGTAATACTAACAAATCATTATTGTTATTATTTGCAGTGTTGGCAATAAAACTCTTGACTTTACTTATGCTAGGCAGGTGCTCTTACTACTGACCTATACCCCCTGCCATGCATAAAGCCAAACATTCTAATGAAACAAGCAGTTATAAAGTCTAAAATCAACATATTTTTTTTTATTTTACAAATTTAACTAATGTAATGAAAACTTAACATTTTAATAGCTGTATCTCTGAGTGATTTTAATATAATAAATGTGGAAAAAGAGTAAGATAAATAGAATGAGACCCCAAAAGTGAAATGTATTATGAAAGGTAAAAACTGGTAACAGAATCAGATAAGCAAGATACTTTTCATTGTGTTGGGATGTGGCTTAGTGATAGAGCATTTACGAAGTATGTGTAAGGCCCTGGGTTTGATCCCTCTACATGACTAGACTGTTCCTGCAGTTCAGTTCCTCAAAGTGGCCTCTAAGCAAGTCTTCCTACTCTTGTATGATGGTTAATATTGATAACTTGATAGGATCTAGAATCACCCAGGAGACAAACCACAGGGTATGTCTGTGAGGGAGTTTCTAGTGAGTTTCTAAGTGAGGTAGGAAGACCCAGCTTATGGAAGGACAATACAATTTCATGTGCTGGTGTCCCAGACTGAATAAAAAGGAAGAATTGAGCTACACATCAGCATTCATCTCTCTCTCTGTTTCCAGACTGCAGAAAATGTGACCAGTGGCCTCAAGCTCTTGCTGCCATGACTTCCCAACAATGACAGATTGTGTACTCTTAAACCTTGAGCCCAAATAAGGCTTTCCTTCCTTAAGTTTCACTTGTTGTATATTTTGTCTCAACAACAAGAAAGTAACTAATATAAGGTTATTTTGTAAATGTTGAGTTGATCTTACAGCTCCCAGCCACAGCTTCACTGCCCTTACATACTGCCTGATTGAAACATTCAAATTCTGTGATCTTCAAGACTCCACAGTCCACACCTGTTTAATCTCTCTTCAAACATTTTCTAGGCCAAGATGGCTCAGTGGGTAAATGTACTTGCTGCCTGAGCCTGGCTACCTGAGTTCAATCCCTAGAACACATGTAAAGGTGAAAGGAGAGAACCAACTCCACAAAGTTGTTCTCTAACCACACATGTACGCACCATGGCATGCACACCTCTCCACATCACACACATGCACACTAATAATAAATAAATTTTAAAATAAACAAACAAAAGCCCCTGTTTTCTGTTACTGTATTTTTCTCCAGC